ACTCAGAGCGCTGTGCTGCGCTAAGGGGTGGTCGGGGAACTTTCACCCATCCATTCAGCCAGGGCTGCCGTTCCCCCTCCCTCTCAATTAAATCCTATTTTTTGCACTCCATGCATGAAGCACGGCCACGCCAATACATCAGATATTGTGGCTGATAGCCTTCTCTGAATGCCACTTCAAGCCCTCCAGCACGGAGCCGCCTGAAAGCAAAGCATCATTCATTCTTTGAGCAGCAGAAAAAGACTTTCGCGGCGCGGAGTTGAAGCGAGGCTCTCAGAAAGAAGGAAAGGGCGTCCAGTGAAAGAGGAAACGAGAAATTAAAACCACATTCAATCTTATTAGCGGTAATACAAGAGGTCAACAGAGTGCTCTGCAAAACCGTGCAGCGTGAGAGCAGATTTCGGCAGAGCTCGCTCCCATGCAGTGACACCAACCAGCCTGGCTGCTGCACGGGGAAGCAAAGGCTGTGAGCAGCTCTTGCATGGAGCCAGATGGAAGGGCGAGGGCTGGAGGCATTACCTCATGTATGCTAACAGCACTGGGCTGGGAGGAACCTTCCCCCTCCTCCTCCTCCATCTGAAACGTTTTCTCTCTCTCGGGATTTCCAGCATCTTATAAGCGAAGCCTCTTTGAAGCACCGCAAAGTGGCGTTGCTCATCACCGAGGTAATGATAGTAAATAAGCTCCAGTATTTTGTTGAGCCTTTTCCTTCTGCTTTACAAACAAAAGGTCAGAGTCATTAGCCCAGTTTGATGAGGAGGAACGGGAGCTGGCAACGTCGCTCCGGAACATCACAGGAAATATCAGCGAGCAAACAGGACACAGAACCGACACTGAGAGCCACTCCGGCATCGGGGGACACGGAGCAGAGCACGGCCAAACCACAAGGTGAGCGCAGAGCAGCCGTCCTCCCCACTGAGCTCCTCCATCTGAAGAGGAACGCCGCCATTCAGATCCACGTGTGGCAAGAAGAGGGTCTGTGCTTCCTATGGAACCGGCCAAACTTCAAACATCACCGTGCACACGAAATGAGCGCCTCCCATCAGGAAGGTCCTCTGACTGCATACAACGCAGGGGAAGAGCTCAGCTCTTACTGAGGACTTCCCAGCAGAAACCAAAGTCATCAGCCCACGCTTCAGCTTTGGTGGAGTACGAAGGAATCATCGTTAGCACAGCGACCTGCGTGCTGTCCCTCCCACCCTGCTGCACACCTTGCCATGCAGAACCGAAACCTCCCAGCCAGCAGCCATCTCAGAGCCGCAGCGATGGAGCAGCAGCCGCCTGCCATGTAGAAACTAAGCCTTAAGAACAGCTGCCAAGCTGTGCCACCTCGCAGGCAGCTCCCATTCTACTCTCCAGGGCCACAGAATCACAGGGTTGGAAGGGATCTCAAGGATCACGAAGCTCCAACCCCCTGCCACATGCAGGGCCACCAACCTCCACATTTAATACCTGCCCAGGGCCCCATCCAACCTGGCCTTGACCACCTCCAGGGATGGACGGGGCATCACAGCCTCTCTGGGCAGCTGTTCCAGCCCCTCACCGCTCTCACAGCACAGAACTTCACCACAGCATCCCACAAAGCCCCATCTTCTCCCACATGCAGGTCCAGGGCTCAGCACGCAGCGAATGCTCTGCACCGCCTCATCGGAACACTGAGCTTGAGGTCTGGGAAGGGACTGCTGGGAGGAGAAAATCCTGCTGCCCTTCGGCCAGAAAAGCAAACCATGCCTGAACCAGGACCAGGCCTCATTCCAGCCCCGTGCAGAAGCTCCTGCTCACATTGTGCCCTTTGCAGTGAAGCCTCCCCTCCTCACAGAGGAAACGCACGGCGCCCTGATTGCACAGGGTTGCAGAAATACAGAGGAAGTGAATGCCACCAGGGTGGTTCTGCTCTGAGCACTCATTTGCTTATTACCCAGAAGCCACCTCCACAGCGTTTATAAATACCCCCGAATATTTAAATAAACGTTAATCTGCTGTAACCAAGGGCCTGATCTCACAAATATTTACCCTTGCGCAGCTGGTACAGACACACAGCTCCTTCCTGGGGCTCCCAGAGGAATGCAGCACCCCATCCAGAGGGGCTGCATACAGCTGCACCCCCAGGGCTGAGCACCACCAAACCCACTGCCAAAACAGAAACCCTACACTGGGAATGAGTCTGGAAAGCATGCAGAGAGCAGCGATCCAGAAGGATCAAAGCATCTCACACTGGATCCTGGATCCTTCCTTATTGCAGTCCATCCCAAAACATCTTCATCTTCACCTTTGTTCACCCACCATCATTTAAAACAAACAAACAAACAAACAGAATTTACCAACGTAACCATGAGCACATGAGGCAATCGGTGCAGTTTTAACCCCTCCGCCCACACTCTGTGATTATCTAAGCTTTGTGAATGAAATCAGCTTTTCCTAGCCCAGCCCAGAAGAATGAGATACATCCCAAGTATGCTGAGAAACTGGGCTGGCAGTTATCACAGGGGTTCTATTATTCATCGTGAATCACCACTGCCTGCAAACACCTTCTGAACCAAAATGCACCGCTCTGCTCAGCGCCGCGTTATTCACGAAGGAAACAGCCTGCTGTGCTGCTGCAAGAGAACACAGGGCTACAGCAAGAAGCACGGCTGAGCCCACGGGCCAAGGGGAGGAAAAGCATTCTGCTGCTCCTTTGGTTTCACAGGGCTGGGAGCAAAGGTTGAGAACAGTGAGATGAAGCAGGGCCTTGCTAGCATCGCCCTGCAGCAGCCTGGGAAAGCCTGAGCAGCAGCACAGAGCTTGGAAAGGGGGGAATTGGGGCATTTGCGTTTTGAACTTGCTGCAAAGCAAGAAAACAAACAAAACGCATTTAGGTTTTCAAGCGGTGCAAACGTGCAGGAGGAAAAGCTGGCATTCAGTTTGCAATCAGAAGGCTTTCCCTTACAGTTCACATTGCGTACAGCAAGGGAAACCTGCTCTCATCTGCACACAGCCAGGCTCTAGAATCATAGGATGGCCTGGGTTGCAGAGGAGCACAGTGCTCACCCAGCTCCAACCCCTGCTGTGTGCAGGTCGCCAACCAGCAGCCCAGGCTGCCCAGAGCCACATCCAGCCTGGCCTTGAATGCCTGCAGGGATGGGGATCCACAGCCTCCTTGGGCAACCTGTGCCAGTGCCTCACCACACTCTGAGTGAAAAACCTCCTCCTCATATCCAACCTGAACCTCCCATCACCAATGCAAGGTGATGGGTCGGAGGGCAGAAATGCTGCGTTTGATCCCTGCAGTTACCAACCTGCCCAGGAAGATCCACCAAACACCAGGGTTAGGTGGCCCCTAAAGCATGGGCAACACTCTCTCATCCAAACTCTGGAAGCACAGTCCTCACAATGGCAAAGGAAAGAAAACAAAAGCGTTCTGCTCGCTGCACCCCAGCTCTGGGATCAAGCTTGTCCTTGGCTGCGACTGCAAGCAGATTGTCAAAGCCACTCTTATCAACGCACTGCCTGTGCTTTCAGTGGGCAGATGTTAGCTTTGGTTTGCTTTTAACTAAGTTTTGGATGAAACTCTATCAGCTTTGATGACAAAATCCCACTCGAGGTCAACGCGAGGCAAACCAGGGCGAGAAACTTCTGCACCGCTTCACAGCGACCCGTCCTGCAGGCGTCTCACACTGATGGAAAACACAACCAGTCCCCCTCCTCGTGTGACCTTCAGTACTTCCCCCAAAGTAATGCTGTGCATCAGCTTTGCCACAAGGGAACTCACACACAAACACACTGCTGGCTCCTTATGTCCTTCGCTCCCAACTTTTCCGTTCTCACAAGTCCCAAGGGAGGACACACAAGTGTGAGGGCCTGGTAAACCACGGCTCTGAGCGAAGCAGGTGGATTTAATACAACTTTATTACCACTGATCTTATTGCATGTCCACTAACACCTGCAGCACTGATGGCTTGATGTCACCGGACAAATGAAGCTCCTGAAGGCCAACCTGGTGTTCTGCTGCTCTCTTAACCCACTGTATGGCCCCGCCAGCAGTCTGATCAATGGGAAAGCATGCAATCCAGCTGCTGCTGCTGCTAAAGAAAGCAGAACAGCAGTGCCAAACGTGAAACTTACAGAAGGGACAAGCAGAAGAAGCTCTCTGAGGTCAAATAAGAGCTACGAGGGAAGAGCTGCCATCCCTTACCTTTCACCAAAGGCTGTCTGCTATTTGTATCCCAAAGGAGCAGCCCCAACACGAGCCTAACTACCAGCGAGGCACAACCCTGAGGACATTCACCAGCAACTTATTCCACCTCTGAAAGGAGCGCGGGCTGAGGTCAATGCCAGGTCAGTCAGTGCCTCTGACCAAACTTCACCAGATCACACTGGAGCTTTCAAAGCTCGTTTAGAGATAGAGGCTGAGAGGAGGGGGCATTTCCAACAGAGCTGTGGGACACCATGAGGGGGGGGGGGGAAGAGTCACGTGTGCTTTTGGGGCTCCCACACCTCCAGTAAGGCGTTAAGGGAGGGAAGGAGGCACGCGGGGTGACAGCACGGCACCGTGCAGCAGCAGCAGCCCCCAGCTGGGCACCGGGCGTTGCTCTGACACGGGGAAAAGCCCGGCGCGCTGCTCACAGCGCCCTTCCCCCGTGCTGCCGTGAAGCCGTGCAGCACAGCCCTGCGCTGCCCAGCACCACCGGCCCGGCCCCCCCTGACCCCCAGCCCTCGGTCCCAGCCCCAGCATGGACTCACAGCGAGGCCTCCAGGCAGCCCCACGCGCAGCCCCGGCCCCCCCCGCCCCAGCGCAGCCCCCCTCCCCTCCCCGCCGCTCCCGGTTCCGAGCCGTTCAGCCCCCGGGGGCGGCGAGGCCCCGGAGCTCACTATGTGGCAGGAAACGCTGACCGCCTCAACGCAAGAGCTCACTATTTAGCAAGGGCCCAGCGGCCCACCCCAACGCCTCCGCCGCTCTCCTGCGGGACGGGGCGGCCAGAGAGGGCCGGGGAGCCGCCACTCAGCCCTCTCGCACTCACCCCACTCCGGTGCTGCTCTCTCAGGCCCCCCGGGCTCGTTACCACCAGGGCGGGCCAGCCCGGCCGTCCGCCATTCCACAGCTCCCCCTCCCTGCCCTGACCGGGCCTGGCCCCGCCTCCTCCCGGCCGCCGGCCCGCGGCGCCATTGGATTACCGCCCAGCGATACGGCCACACCATTGGCTGAGGGCGGCTGTCTATCAAAGGCGCCCTGCGCCACTTACGTACGAAACTGGAGCAGGAGGGGAACCCCACCCAAGGAGCCGCGCAAAAAGAGTAAACAGGGCGGAACGTACCACGGGGAGGACGGGACGGGGGGGTCCGAGCGGCTTTAGAACGCGTCCCCGCGACGGGAGGGAAAGTCGCGACAGCACGAACAGTTAGAGCACTTTCAAAAAATGACTCTGTGTTCTGTGTGGCGAGATCACGGCAAAACTCTGTGCGACTTTGGAGGAAAAGCGTCTCTTTTCCACCCTCCCCTCCTCCCCCCACCACTGAGAGCCGCACTTGGGTGTTGCCTTTCGCCTCTATGGTCTGACGGCCTGGGAGGAAAGTTCCACCTGGGGGAGTGGGGGTGTCACACCAGGGCGGGGGTCGGGGGAGGAACAAGGGGGGGTATGGGGAGGACAGGGCTGGGCTGGTGGGTCTTGGAGCTAGGGACCAACCCAGAGGGTCCCATGCACCATGCGGGCCCTGGGACCAGGCTGGGGGAGTATGGGAGCTGGGGGTACCAGGCTTGGTGATACCCAGTATGGGGGTACCAGGCCCAGAGGGTATGCGGTATGGGGGTACCTGGTATGGGGGTGCTGTGCTTGAAAATACGTGGCATTGAGGATACCAGACTTAGGAGTACTCAGCACAGGGGGTATCAGGCCCAGGGCCATCCAGCTTTAGGGGCATTGGGTCCTGGGGGTACCCAGCACTTGACACAGTGAGCCCTGGGGGTACCCTGTGTGGAAGGGCCAGGCTTGGGAGTATCCAGCATACAGGGCCCAGGGATACCCAGCACTAGGAGTGCAGGACCTGGGGTGCCTGGCACTGGGCCCTGGGGAACCTTAATTTGGGATTACTGGGTCTACTCAGCATGGAGATACCAGGCCCAGAATGGCTCAGCATGGGGATACTGGGCAGTAGGGCGCTTGGTACTGGGGGTACCGGGCACAGGGGTACCCTTGAGCCTTGCTCACCATCCTGCTGGTCCTCAGCAGGGTGGTGGCAATGCTGGGGACCCCCCCTTCGGTCAGCCACACAGCACGGGTTGCTATAGAGCAGTAATCCTCTGCCTGGAGGAGACACCCTCGAGGGGGGGGAAGGAAGAGAGTGAACAAAGATTTCCATTGTCCCAAACTGCGGGAGCAAATACTTGATCAAAAATTAACAGCGCGGTGCACCGCTGCCGCAGCGCTTCTGTCTGTGCACCTGGAGCATTAAATCTTTCTTCCCCTGCCTGATTACAAACAGGAGTGCTGGGTTCATTTCTGCCTGGAGAAGCTGGAGGCGAAATGAATGGTGTGAGGTGCAGGCGGCTCTGCTGGGGGCTTTAAAATGGATTGCTCCCAAATCCAACCAACGCAGGTATTGCGGTGCTGGACAGCAGGGTCTCACCTCCACCACTGCCTCCTTTCACACCTCCTGGTTGAGATGGGCACCTGCACGTGTTGGCAGTGGCTCGTTCTCGCCTGTTTTGCACCTCTCACATGCACAGGCCCTGGGATGGGATGCTCAGCTGCAGCCCCCACCCACCACCAACGTCCATGGGTGCAAAGACATGGGGTGGGAACGAGGACGGGGCCTCAAGGCGCAGCTGGAGGCTGTGGGCTCCAGGTTTTCCAGGCTGCCAGCCAGCCGTTGCCTTAAAGAAGATCTGCTTCTATCTCAAGGTGTCACAGCCTCAAGGGAACCACCTAATCTGTATCTGCGCTGCAACCTTTATCTCTCCCCGCCTGTGTGAGAGGCTCTGTTTATAGCTGCCGAATAATACCTGCTAAATTGCAGGATCCAGCCCCCCCGCCGTACCCCCTGACACTTGTTTCTCTGCAAGAGGGATGCTCTCGCCTGCCAGGTGCTGTTTTCTGGAAAGAAATGATGCTCTGGGGGCCAGGGACAGGCAGCCAGGCTGCTCCTGCCTCTTCCCTGGGTGGGCTCCAAACCCCCACTCACCTAAAAGGGCCCTTCTCCACACTGCTGCCCCTCTGGCTCCATCCCACCCCTGCTCTCCTCAACCTGGGCTTTGCTCCTCGTTAAAATCAGACGGCATCCAGCAGATCCAGCCTCATCTTTCCTCACTCCACAGACAGGGATGAGCAGAAATCCTTGGCTGAAGAATTGAGCCCCCAGCTTATCTTGTGCTGTGCTGCCCAGCCTTGCATGGGGCCGTGGCCACGTCCTCACTCAGGGATGCTGGAGGGGGGGAGGGGGGAGCATTGGGTGCCTGTCCCCAGCTGGCTGCCCCTGTGCTGTCCTTGCACACAAAATGGCTGAGTAGAACACAGCATGAAGGCAGAGCGGCTCCAGCTGCATCCCTGCAGGAAGGGAGCCAGGGCTGGCAGCACCAGAGCTGCAGAGATGCTCTGGAAACAGACACACCATGACATGCTCTGGGCTTGTCCTGCTTCTCGTGAGTCGCAGCCCTACCAGCATCAATCTGGGCTGCAGAGGGAAGAGGATGTGGGGTGCACAGGGTGCTTAGGGTGCATGAAGTACCCAAGGTGCCTAGGGCTTGCAGGGTGCATGGGGTGCAAGCAGCACTGAGGGTAGTGGATGCACACGGGATGCATGAAATGCACAGGATGCATGCTGCATTCAGGGTGCATGGAGCACATGCAACACATGAGGTGCCCATGGTGCATGGGATGCACGCAGCACACAGAATGCACAGTGTGGACAGGGTGCTTGGGCTGTATGAGGGTGCACGTGGGGTGCACAGGGTGCCCGTGGTGCATGGGATGCAGTGCAGAACAGGGGGTGCACAGGGTGCCCGTGGTGCATGGGATGCAATGCAGAACAAGGGGAGCACAGGGTGCCTGTGGTGCATGGGATGCAATGCAGAACAAGGGGAGCACAGGGTGCCTGCGGTGCATGGGATGCAAAGCAGAACAAGGGGAGCACAGGGTGCCCGTGGTGCAGGGGATGCAATGCAGAACAAGGGGAGCACAGGGTGCCTGTGGTGCAGGGGATGCAATGCAGAACAAGGGGAGCACAGGGTGCCTGTGGTGCATGGGATGCAATGCAGAACAAGGGGAGCACAGGGTGCCCGTGGTGCATGGGTTGTGTGCAGCACGGAGGGCGCACATGGGATGCACAGTGTCCCTGGTGCATGGGATGCATGCAGCACGTGGGATACACGCTGTGCCCACGGTGCATGGGACACACAGGACACACAGGGTGCTGCTGGGCAGCTCGGCAGCGGGCAGTGGCTGTGCTGCTGACATTTACTAATCAGCTCTAACCTCGGCTGCACACCCGCTCGTCTCGCTTGCTGTCTTGTCTCCATGGAGACTCTGCAACCTTTGCTCACTCGTTAATGGTATCTCAGCAAACGAAACTCCAACGCCACCCAGCCTTCCCCTCCCGGCCCCGGCGAGGGGGAGCATCGCCCATGGGAGCCATCCTCCCGCCACCCTGCATCCCATCCCCTCCTGCAGCCGGGGATGAAAGGGACGAGGCCTTGCTAACGAAGGGCTGAGCCTCGCTGGGCCGAGCCGAGGGCAAGTTCTGAGGGTAGGCAGGAGGAGGAGGGCGAGCGGCATCCTCCAGAGCTGGGGATGCTGGGGCTCAGCAGCACTGCAGTGCAGCCCTTCCTGGTGGGTATATGGAGCACGAAGCTTGGGGCAGCAGCCATGCATGGGGTGCCCCCCGTGCCCCCACCCCAAAGCTCGGATCCCGCTCTGTCGCCGCCGTCCTGCTCTCTCCGGCTCTGTTTTCAAATTAACATGGGAAAGATGCCCATTACCTGCTTCCAGATAATGACTATGATTAGGCAGAGCTCTGCTGCCAGCCGAGATCTGAAGGATTTCTGTGCACTCCAGCAGCGCTTGCCGGTGCAAAAACAAGAGCAATAAAGTGTAAATAAAAGACTAAAGAAAACAGCGCGGTCCATCAGTGCAAGGGTGCGCAGAGGCAGCTCCATGGCTGGGCTTTGTGTGCTGTCAGCGGTTCCAGCCCCATCGCAGCCCAGGTGAGGTTGGAGCTGGGGCTGCCCCACTCCCACACCCCACGTCTGAACCCGGATCAGCCTCCGGTTGCTCAGAACTGGGAGGGGGGGGGGGGGTTGGAAAGAGGGAAACAATAAATAAATTGAGACGTGCGCTTGTTTGCAGTGGGAAGGAGAAGGTGAGCTGCAGTGTAATGAGCAAGGCTGGCCTTGGGGAGCTGCTGCCTGGCCAGAAGAGCTGAGGAAGGGATGAAAAAGCCAACTCCATCTCCAGAGATCTCTGTGCAGAGCGCTTGTGCCATGCTGCTACCTGGGGTGCCCAGCCCTGCGCCCTGAGGCTGGTGGGCTTTTCTGCTCCTCAGAAAGATGCTGGCAGCCCCACAGGGCAGGGAGCAGCGCACAGAGACAATGGGATGGGACATGCTGTGCTCTGCTGGCTGCGTGCCCCTGGCTCAGCCAGAGCATCCTCCTCTCCCTGGGCAGGGTGGCAGAGCCCTCGCTGGCCCCACAGGCTTCTCTTGTGGCCCAGTGCAGCGTGACTCAGCTCAGCCTTCATCCCTGTGAGGATGAGGATGGGCCAGGACGCAGTGAGGGGACTGGTGATGTCTGTGGTGCACCCACGGGCACAACCACAGCACATTCATGGCACATCCGTGGGTGCATCCGTGCCAAATCCGTTGTGCATCCATGGCTGCAAGCATGGCACATCCATGGCACATCCATTGTGTATCCATGCCACATCCATGGGCACATCCACAGCACCTCCATGGCACAACCATGGGTGCATCCATGGCACATCCATGGCACCTCCATGGCACATCCATAGCACATCCATTTTGTATCCATGCCACATCCATGGCACATCCACGTATCCACAGCACCTCCATGGCACATCCATTGTGTATCCAGGGCACCTCCATGGCACATCCATTGTGTATCCAGGGCACATCCCTGGGCCCACCCACCCTCCCCCAGCTGC